TTGTGGGGGTTTTTTGGTGGTTTCATTTTAGTTTTAGTTTTTGGTAATGTGGTTCCAAAATATATAGATCTTTGTATGTATCATGCTTACTTCAAAGAGAAGCCCCAAGGCACTCTGCATGTCAATGAAATTTGTTCTCCTTTGAATGAGAAATGCAAAAGGTATGTGTATTTGGCTGAGCCCACCAAAAGAAACTTTTGCTTTCTTGTTGAAACCATACTACAGTGCCACAACTGGAAATGAAAGTGATCCTTCGGAAAAGCTAGACCTGAAGTTCAAATCAGGCAGAGGCTGTGGGGGGAAACCCTCTTTTCTCTAACCTACACCTTGATCAGCTAATACTGCAAGACAAGACTAGCAAATGTATAGCCAGGTGTGCTAACATAGTTTATTTTCATTTCTGATGTTCTCCTAGTTAAAATGAATCTTCGTTAGACTGCAGTCCTGTGGTTCCTGGGCAAGGGTCTTAATGAACATAGGATCAGCTGTGTCAGATCTCCATTCCCAAGGACAAAGAAAGAGAGAGAGGTCCAACTTCAGAGAAAGAGTTACAACCTGGCAAATCCCCTTCCGACTATAGGGCAGCCCCCTTCATGACCACAGTGTAGGAAACCCCTCTGTCAGGAGCTATAGGGTGCACCAAGGCAGAGGGGAGCCCACGGGGGAAGTTTAAACTGGAAGGGGCAGGCCTAACATTGACAGCTCTATAAATTTGTTTGAATGATTTGTTATATTAAGTCAAGAGTGATTCCAAGCCGTGCTAAGTCATACATGTTTCCTGCTTAATAAACCAGATAATTTTTCCCCCTACGTAAGGGGAAGGACCGCCAGGGCAACTCCCACATTCCAAATATATTCATACCAGAAGGTTCTTTTGGCTTTTCTGGGTCCAGAGACATCAGACAGTGACCAGTTCAGGCAATATGCTCATTCAGGCTCATGGTGGGCATTTAATCTACAGCAAGCACAGTTGCCATGCTGTGTGAACTCAGCAAGTGGGGGTCCATGCAAGCATGATCCAGCCCTCCAGCTGGACCACAGCCCAGTGCAAGCGTGTGATGCAAGCGCAGAGAGTGCTCAGTCTCATAAGAAGAGCCACGCTGGATCAGAGCAAGGGTCCATCTCGTCCAATATTCTGTCCACTCAACGGCCATTTTATGTTCAGTTCCTCTGATACTGGAAGCAGCATATAGCCTTTGGGACAGGCTTAACAGCTTTATTCTGCACCCATTTGTCCAATCCACTTCTAAGGCCATCCAGATTGGAGGCCATCACTACATCCTGTGGCACTGAATTCCATAGTTTAACTATGCGCTACGTAAAGAAGTAATTCCTTTTATCCATCCTCAGTCTCCCACCAATCAGCTTCATGAAGTTCTAGCATCATGAGAGAAGGGATGAAGAAGATGATGATGATGCACTTCTATGTAACCCAATAGCTGAAGTTCTCTGGGTGGTTTCAAAGCTCCCTGGGAGGTCTCTGTATTCACTCGCTCCACACAGTGCATAATTTTGTATATTTCTATCATGTCTCCCTTGCTTGCCTTTTTTCTAAGCAAAATAAGCTAAACAGTCCCAGCTGTTGTAACTTTCCTTGTAGAGCATTTTCTCCAGCCCCTTGATCATTTCAGTTGTCCTTTTCTGCACTTTTTCCAGCTCAATGTTACACTTTTTTAGGTGCAGTGGCCAGACCGATACACAATATTCTAAGTGCAGTCACATGGTAGATTGGTAAAAGAGCAATATAACAGTGGTGGTTTTGTTCTAAATTCTTTTCCTATTTATGCCTAGTATGGAGTTTAATTTTTCAAAGCAGCCACACATTGGGTTGAGATTTTTGCTACAACCACAAGTTCTCTTTCTTGGTCAGTCACCATGAAGTTATATTGGAAGTTAGGATTTTACTCTCCAACAGGCTTATCATACAGTTGCTTACACTGAACCACATTTGCCATTTTGATCCCATTTCTCCCAGTCTGAAGAGATCATTATGGAATTTCTCACAATCCCTTTTGGTTTTAACCTCCCTAAATAATTTGGTTTCAGCAGCAAATTGTATTGCTCCCCCAAGTTTAATTTGAACAAATTAAAAAGCACTAGTCCAGTGAGATCCCCCTGGAACTCCACTATTTATAGCACCTCATTGGGAGAATTTACCATTTATTTCTACTCTCTCATTTCTGCTCTTTAACCATATACTTATCCATAAGAGTACCTCTTCTCTTATTCCATGACAGCTAAGTTTGCTCAGGAGGCTTGGTGAAAAACTTTGTCAAAAACACTTTGGAAATCCAAATAAATAATGTTTTTCAGATCACTGCTGCCCACATATTTCTGAATACTCCCAAAGAACTCTAAAGTTTAATGAGACAGGATTTGCATTTGCTGAAGCCATATTAATTCTTTCTCAGCAGGGCTTGTCCTTCCATATGCTTAAATGTTATGTTTAATAATACTTTCAACAAACTTACCCAGATATTGCACTACCAATCTGTAATTTCCTGGATCTACCTTTCTGGATCACATTGTAAAATATGGTGTTACATTAACCACTCTCTAGTCTTCTGATACAAAGGCTGATCTCAGGAACTTGTTACATAGTTTTGTTAGATCAGCAGTTTCATAATTGAGTTCTTTAAGCACTGTAGGGTAAATAGCATTTGGGCCTGGTGATTTATTAACTTTCAATATATCAATAAGGTTAAGAATGTTTGCTTCTGTTCCCCAGACTCTCTTCCTGAAAAACTCAATTTACGCACAGGTATCTGTTCTCTACTCTCTGCAGCGAAGACAAATTAAAAGAATTCATCCAGCTTTTTACAATCTCCTTAGCCTTGCTTATACTACTTTAACTCCATCTTCATTCAAAGGTCCAGTCAGTTTCTTAGCTGGGTTCTTGCTTCCGATTTCATTAAAAAAATAGTTACTCTTGGCCATTTCCTGAAGGAAGCTGGTCCCCCCGCCCTCCACAACTGGCTTCTTTGACACCGTTTTTCATTCATGCTGGTGACCTCTAGGACTCCGTGTGATGTTTCCTAACCTGTGACATACATTCTAGCTGAGTGTCTATGGCTGTGGGTTTGAGTGACCTCCAAGCATTTGAACCCTCTTGACTCCACACTTCAACTTCCTCTTTTCCAGTTTCCCCATTTTTAAAAAGTTTTCTTTCTTGAATTCAGATGTGAGTAAGATGAACTTCCTTGGACAATTTCCCATTTAAATATATATTAGGTCAGATCCCATCATAGTCACTGTTTCCAGAGACCTCAACAAGTTTTGTATTTCATGCCATGCCCTGAGTGGAACTATTTAGGATCAAATCCAGGGTTCCCTTCCCTCTGATTGGTTCCATGGCCAACTGCTCTGGGCCACACTCCTTTAGGGCATCGATCCATTTAACTACTTTGTTGTGACTGAAAGCTGCATTTACCAAGTCAATGTGGTCACCCATTATTGAGAGCCAGTGTGGCGCAGTGGTTAAGAGCCTGGGACTGGGACTCAGGCGATCTGGGTTCTAGTCCCTGCTCGGCCATGGAGCCAACTGGTGACTTTGGGCCAGTCACAGACTCTCAGCCCAACCTACCTCACAGGGTTGTTCTTGTGGGGATAAGATGGAGGAGGAGAATGATGTGAGCTGCCTTGAGCCCTTTGTAGGAAAAAGGCAGGATATAAATTGAAAAATAAATCACCCATTATTAAAATACTTCCATATTTGGAGGTCTCCTTGGATTTCCCCCTCCCCGTCTCAAATCACCCTGAGCATTCTGATTTTAGTCCCTAGCCCTAAATCAGTTCCAGAGCCCAGTATTGTCACCCAGAATGCATCTGTGGAACAGTGCCCTTTTTTTGGATTTCTGGTCTGCTGGACTCTATGCCTTCTTGGGGCCCATCTACTTCCGTACACCCTTTCCTGTCCTTGTTATAGTGTTTACAGACAGAGATGAGTGTACTCCACTGGCCCTCTCTGTTCCACCAAGTCTCTCGAAAGCCCACTCTAGCTAGACTGTCCTTTAAAACCAGGTTTTAACTCCAACTCAAAGGCTATTTTGGCTCAAAGGCTTGCAGAAACATCCCCAGATGTCTCCAGCACGTGCCTCTTCTGCTGTGGCCTCCTTGACCGGCTATCCTTCCAGCGTATTTCCTTTTCTTCTAAGTTTGGGCAATAAGCAACATTCTCAATTTCTTCTCCTAGCCTTGATTCAGCCAGAACCTGATGCTTCCCAGTTCCGGTCAGCTGTCCTCCGTTAAAGCACTGCTCTGGCCACCGCTTGCATGGAAAGGCAGGTGCACTACGGTGACAGCAGCGGGAGGGCGCAAGGTCTTGGCCCCGCGGACGGCCCCCTATGGGGGGGGGGGGCTTGGCAGGTGCCCTTAGGCCAGCCCTGGTTTGACCCAGTCTTCCTAGAAAACCCCAAGAGATGCGGGACTTCACAAGCCATTATCCCTCCTGTCTAAAAGGGGGCCTGCAAGGGGGCACATTGGTCTGGAGAAACCCTCTGCGCTCTACCGATCCGAAGCTGACAAGCGTCGCTCGCCTCGCAAGATCGTGACTTGGTGAATCCCCAAAGCTTTTCGAGGGGAGCGGGAGCCGGGTCTGGGCAGATCTCAAGCGCAGATAAAGCCTCCCCACTCCTCGAGCCGTTTCCCCATCCGGTTCGTTTCCCTCCAAATGACCCGAGGTAGGAAGTGGGGCGGGGGGCGGACTCCTCCCCGCAAGGATGGTGGCAAGTAACGATGGGGAGCGCAGGAGGACGCTGCTGCTGGCTATCCCAGGCCGCCTGGAGCCATCGCCCTTTTAAGGGGTAGCTTGAAACCGCGCCTGGGCTCCATGTTTGTATCAGAAATCGTGAAGAGGGAACTCCATGTTGTAACAAAGTTTCCTTCGCCACTGCCTTTTTCTCCCCCCCCCTTTTTGTTTTGTTTTCCCCCCCCCCCCCCGTCCCCCCCGCCCCTCCCCCACCCTTTTATTTCCCCCCTTCCGTTTTCTTTTTCTTTCTTTGCTTTCTTTTCTTCTTTTTTTAATCTGCAAAAATCTGTTAACTCCTGGAAGAAGAAGGGAAAAAAAATCCCCCCCTCCCAAAGCGGCGGAGAGACAATTGGAGGAGGGAGAAAAGCGCTCCGCACTTCTGGTCTCATGGACAGCGGGTCCATTATCACCCAGGTTAGCAAGGAAGAGGTGAACACCCCCCTGCAGGAGAAAGGTAATGATCCGCGCGTAACCCCCCCCCCCCCCACACACACACACACCGCCGCCGGCGACGCGGGACAGAGATGCCTTTGGGGCCCGCATCCGCCAGCCCAGCTGAGGTCAAATGCGTGGGAGCGAATTTGCTCATTCCTCCGCCCCACACCTTCAAATTCACCGCTCGCTCAAGGGCGGCGGGGGCCCCGGGATCCACTTCTTTGAGAGAGGCAGCGCCGCTTCCGCTTGACAGATCTTGGTCGCCGATCAAGGCAGCGCTGGATCGCCTTGCGCGCCTCTGATAGGGCTGGGACTGGGGGCATTTAGGGCGCTTGCGTACCCTTCGCAAAGGTATAACTCTTTTTTTTTTTTCGGATTCCGATTCCGGGGGGTGGGGAGAAAAAGAGGGGGGAAACCTTGACCCGTTCTTCTAGCACGTGTGTCTATTCTATGCATCGGAGCAATTGCCCTCTCCCCAGCGCACTTATCGGAGCCATGCTCTTTTGCACAGGCCGACTGCACGGATATACTTGCGTGCAACGCGCCCTGTGTGTGGTTGGACAAATACCCACCTTGCAATTCGGGTGAAGCCTAACCCTGCCCCGGGGCACGGAGGTGTTGGGGCATCGCTTTGCCCGCGTGTCTGTGTTGTCTCTGGGTACTGGTGCAAAGTCTATGCATGCTTTCAAAATAATTGAACCCCACCCCATCGTGGGAGGCTGCCCAACGGCCTCGTCTGGCAGAGTAACTCATTGGAGTGCTTATTTCCTTGCCGGGGTTAGGGAGCTGAGGAAGAAGACGACATGCGGGGGGGCGCTGCCTTTATTTTTGTGCATATTTTGGGTGCTGCAGCTTCACTGCCCCTCCTCATCTCCCCTGCATGTGATCTCATTGAGAGAGAGTGAGGGATTCGGCAAGATTCTATTGGAGAGGAGGAGTTTTCTGAGTCCTCTGTGCATCCTGGATGCATCTCCCTCTTGGTCACTCCCTGCTCTTAGGAGAAGGAAGGTTGTAAAAGAAACACCTATTGCATCTACCAGGGATTTGGCCATGGGGGGCGGGGGTGGAGACAGAAAATAACTCCTATGAAGGGAGTGATGCTGCACCCAGGATGAAACAGGTGTTAGTAAACACATCTTGGGGGCGCTTGCCTGGTGGAGCAAGAGATAGTAGATAGAGAAACATATGTTGGATAGGTCTACCAGTAGAACAGATATTTGGCATCCCGGGGCTGATCTTTTAACTTGCTGGAAACCCAAAGTCTTTCTGACGTGGGAGTAAAAGCAAGTCTTTCCTGCCTGTTGGTGTTACACCCCACCACTCTCCCCCCCCCCTTTTTTTTCTTTTTAGATGAAACCAGTGAGCACATTCTGTAGTCGCTACAGATTCTTGACAGGCTGTTTAATGGCCTTCAAATACCCTCTTATTTGAGATTGGTGATAAGAGCAAAAGAAGCCTGCAGGGCAGATAAGGAAGGAGTCCTTGAGGGCTGCATTGGGCTGCAGGCAGGAGGTTCCCCATCTGTGCTGTAGTGTGACAGTGAAGGAGCTGCCCTGAGGTGGTTTTGCCAAATTGCCTTTGCTTGTTGTCCTCTTGGTCCCAGCTGAGTTGTAAACATCAGTGCAGTCCCACATTGTGTGTGATGGAGAGTCAGCCAAAAGAAAAGGGGCTATTTCTGGATTTGCTATCAGCCCTAGATTTTTTCCTGTTGCTTCCCTGAGATCTTGGGGAAGGAGCTTGCTGGCAGGATTTGGAAATGTGAGGGCTTTGCTTAAGAAATCAGGATTTTTCTCAGGTCAGATACTTGACTGGCGAGGGAGAAAGGAATGTTGCTCTGCCTGCTGTGTCAAATGTGGACTCATCTGCCTTTAGCCATCCTGCTAACTGGCTCTCCTCCTTTGTCTTTAACAGCAGCCCAACACAGAAAAATCAGACTGGTTTGCTTTTCCTACTTTGATCTCCACAGCTTGACTTCTTCATGTCAGGTCATTAAAATGCCAGTACAAGACCAGTAAAGGGAGTGGGGGAGCTGGCATTCTTTCTGACTGAATGTAGGAAAGACCATGATAAGATAGAGCTGCTACCATCCAGTGTAAACAGTCCTGAGCCAGACTAACCAATGGTATGTCTTGGTATGCACCAGCTTTCCATGTTCGCTCACTGTCTCTCGCACTGTGTGTGTGTGTGTGTGAGATCATGGTGCTCAGTCAAATTGAGAAATGTCCTAATAGAGGTATGCAGCAAAGTGCAACTTTCCAAGACAAAAGCTGCCCTGATGGTGGGTAAGCCTGTTTTATGAGCTTTTGGATGCCCTCTGTGATGGCCGTGGGGAAGAAGCCTCTCTTCTTTTCTGTGTTAACCCTGGAGTTCAGGGTGGATTTTCAGAGTGATAAGAGCAGAGTTACAGCCATAGGTTTGCTTGGCAGTGGCTGAAGAAGCATGCACTGCCTGTGAATGCATTGCATTCTTCCAGGGTCAGTCCTCAGCATCTCTCAGCAGGGCTGAAACAGTTCCCTCTAAAACCTTAGAAGGCAGCTAGCACTCATGCAGGGTGGCCTCCCCCAACTTGGTACCCTCCAGATGTTTTGGACTGCAACTCACAGGATTGCCCATGCTGGCTGAGAGTGATGGGAGATGAAACCCATAACATCTGGAGGACACCAGATTTGGAGAAGCTGGACTAGTGGCAGTACTGACCTAAACTGTACGGTTCTCAGCAGGCAGCCAGTCTGTATGTGGCCGCTGGACTGTGTGTGCTTTGGAGAGCCAGAAACTCTGCAAGGCTACACTAGAACCTGTGAAGTTTTGAGATGCGAGGAGAGTTCTCACCCACAGAGAGTGTGCTGCCAGGTCTAGGAAGCCGACTGATTCTGAACCAGGCCTTTGGTCCATTTAGCTCAGAACTGTCAACAACACAGGCTGCTGCTTTCTAGGGATTCAAACAGGGGTCTTTCCAGAGCTCATACAAGTCATTTCCCTGCCTGAAGAGAGCAGAAAATGGTGCCTGCCCCTCCCCAAATCACCGTGCCCAATTCTCAAGCTCTGTCAAATTGTTTTGGCACCTGAGACAGAATATCCCACAATGCCTTTCCCCTTGCTGGTGGTTAAAATGCAACAAGCAATACATAAATTAACCATTGGCATCCTTGTGTGCAGTGCTCAGATTTGCTGCTTCAGCTGCTGCTTCACTCTGCCCAATAATAGGCCAGTCCTGGTTCTTTCTGCATGCAAAAGACTGAACCTGGGACCTTCTGTATGCACAGCCACTGTGTGTTCTACCTTTCCCAAAATGAATGGGGTGGCACAAAAATGGAACAAAAGGAGGTGGACCATAGACCAGGGTAAGATTGCCTGCTTTTCATACAGAAAGCCCCACCGCTTAACCCCTGGTTTCTCTAGTTGAAAGGATCCTGGGTCGCAGCCAATGGAAAACTCCCACTTCTGAACCCAGTTCTGGAGAACTGCCGCTAATCAGGGTAGGCAATACTGTGCTAGATTGGCTGATAGATCAACCTGCTGTGGGTCAGGTTTATGTTTTAATAGAGGGAAGAACCCAGAGTAGCCTTCTTGAGCCTGGTGCCCTGCAGATGTTTTGGATGTGAACTCTCATAATCTCTTATTATTGGCTATGCTGGTTGGGGCTGATGGCAATTGTAGTCCAAAACATGGGGAAGGACCAGTTTGTCTACTCCTGGTTTAGAGAATATTTCATAGGTAAAGGACTCAAAAGGAAGTTCTACTTCCAAACCAAACTTTGCCCATGGCAGACAATTGTGAGTGGATGTATTTATTTACCTTGAGGTTGGCAAAACTCTCTTTATTTTGGGAACTCTTACCTATTTGACAGGATTGGCTCTAGCTCTAAATGTCTCAACGATACAGAACATAACAAACCTCCCTGATTGCAGGCTCGTGTCTTTCAATCTTGGACTGCCAATGGTACTCTGGTTTCCAGTAAGGCCATACCGAGTCTGTAGCAGTGAGATTAGGAGAGAGGAGTAGATAACTAGTCATGGTCTATCCCAGGACAGGCAAGTGTGTTTTGTGAATGAAACTGGAAGCTCACTGAGCTAAAGGGACTCTGTTTGAAGGTCGCCCCAGCCTTTAGCAGTGCATCTCAAATATTCTATTTCATATTTATAAAGTAGTTTGCAGATTATAATTGGGAAGTGCTCCTGTTTTAAAAATCCCACCAAGTTTGTTTGTTTGTTTTCTGCACTGTCCAATAACTAAAGGTCCTCTGTTCCTGCTCTGGTTTCTCTTGCTTGACCCAAGGGCAGGATAGATATGCATTCTTTTCTTTTTCCTTTCCTCCATTTCAGAAGGTACTTAGTCTTTCTTAACAAGTTGGCATTCTTAACCCGTCTCACTGATCAGCTAATTTTTCAGTAATTTGGGTCAATTTTCATAGGGTTCCATTCTCCACAGATCCAGCTTCTGAAGTTTCTTCTGCATTTTACAAGGAATGAGATGCAGCACACCTCGGAATTCTAGTACTTTGCTGTGGATCAGGAATCACCCAGTTCATATTTCATTTCCGCCATGGAACTCACTAGAATGGCACCTGCCTGTTTCCCTCTTTCTCAGCCTCAGTCTCCCTCTCTGCAATATGGAGTTACTGCTGGCTTAACTAACAGGGTTCACATAAGGATTGCAACTAGCTAAGTGAGTTTAACTTTTAGTTTATTTGCATGCCAGTAACAAAAGCAGCTCACAATAAATATTATCAGCATGTGTAATGTTTAAGGAATTTATTACACAGTATCTCATTAGATTCAGATAAGAGAAAATCAACAACTCGGTAGACTAAATTCACCATTACAATGCAATAACCAAAATGCAAAATCAAAATTAACATGTCAAAATGAAGCTAGTCCACAACCCTAGCACCGGTCTTGCACTTCCAGGCATCTCAGAGCCGTGTTTAAATATAGTTCACAATTGCTGGTCGGGAAACAGGGAAGCCCCCACCCCTGTGGTCAGTGGGCTGGCCAGAGTTAGCCCACAAGCCTGAGGTTT